TTTTTAATATATTCTGGATCTGACATCTAATTTGCAAATATTTTCTCTTATTCTGTGGATTATGTTTTTTAAAAAATTATTATTTTATTAGATTTCAGTATTTTTGTTATATACAGCTATAGGTTAATACCACATATAATATGATACAGGGAATGTGTATTCTTATAGAATTTAAGAAAATAATTAGAAATAAAAATTAAACCTTTTGACACTTTGGGGAACAAGTGTTAAGTTCTAGAATTTGATATTCTTCAATATACTTGTGAAAAACTTGGGTTTATATGACTTATAATCTTAAAACGTTTCTGTGGGTTATCTTTTTTACTTTATAATGTTATTTGAAGCATAAAGATTTTTAATTTCAAGGAAGTGTATTTTGGGGGATGCTTTTCCTTTTGGTGTCATATCTAAGAAACCATTGCCTAACACAAGGACGTGAAGATGTATCTCTGTGTTTTCTTCTAAAGTTTTTGTAGTTTTAGCTCTTATATTGTTAGATAAATTTTAGATTAGTTTTTATATGTTATACAAAGGTCCCACTTTATATTCTTGCATGTGGATATCCAGTTGTTCCAGCACCATTCACTAAAGGCACTGCTTTCTCCAATTGTCTTGGCACCATTGTCACCCTTGTCAAATATTAACTATACATGTGAAAACTTATTTCCAGACCCTCGGTTGTAATCTCATTTATATTAAGTGTGTGTTTGCTATGTTCAAATACATATAACATCTATTCCTATCCTGGTACCATGCCATTTGGATTACTGTAGCTTTGTAAAAAGTCTGAAATCAGTAAATGTGAGTTCTCCAATGTTGTTCTTCTTTTTCAGTTTTTTTTTTTTTTTTGGCCACATAGGTCCCTTATATTTCCATAAAAATTTTTAGAATTGGCTTGTCAGTTTCTGGAAAAAAAAATGGGATTTAGTCTGGGAATTAGAAAATCCAAGTTCTTACCCTCATGTGGCATTTTATAGAGTCTTGGTCTACTTTGTTTGTCTACCTACTAAATGTGATTAATACTGGTTCCTCCAGGGTCACTGTTAGAGCAGAAATGCAACTATTTTCAGACCCAGTTTTAACTAATTTTTGTATCTGAGCCAAACAGTTCTTCTCACTTCAAACCCTTCTGGAGGGGGAGTGGAGTATGCAATGTATGTGTTAGGGGACAGATTGTAAAGTCTTTCAAGTTACTTTTGCTTTTAAGCATCTATTTAGCAATCTGGAATGTACTCCTCTACTTTACCTCCTCAGTATCTAATTCATCGAAATCTGGATCCTGCAGAGAATTGGCTTCTAGAACAATTACAATGGCAATTATTTCCCCACAGGATTGTCCTGAGCTTCAGCTAGCTTTTGGAACATCTGTGGCAACCCCTTTTGTGTTATGATCACCCTAATGGAGATTCATGGTGTCATCCCTATGTAAATGTGGCCTGTGTAGAGCAGGACAAGCACCCCAGCCCAACACCCCTACCCCCATTTCCACCACCACTTAATAATCCCCATGCTGAGGTAAATGATGAGACACTGGTATTGATTATATTTATCCATTTATTAAAATATCTTAAGAAGCAAAACTTTATTAACTTTGAGGACTGGTGTTCCATTTTTGTGGGGAGGAGGAATAGGCACACTTTGTGGACCTTTTCTTTCTGCTTTTAATTGTAACCCCATAACTGTCCCAGTTTCCTCCCCCAACCAGCCCCTGGCCCAGCTGCTTGTTTGCAGGGACCTCTGAGGAAACAAACAAGAATAACAAGAACAAAAACAATCAACAACATGGATTACAGATTAACAGGCAAGTAGACAAATGCAATTCCACAAACCATATAGCCAATCAAGGTCTTCTATGGGATGCAATGGCACTAATGGATTTGGTTGCTTTGGTATTAATTTCTATCTCTTATGAAACTAAAATCCTTCTACTTGTGTCCTGAATGTTTCTCTTTCCACTGTTTCTTGACCAACCTTTAACCTAATATACCAAGTTAATTTTTTTTTCTTCTCTCCTTTTTGGACACAATACAGGGTCTTGGACAGGAGAACTGACAGCTGTTGTCCTGTAGTATTGATACCAGAAGCAGTTGGTGGCAGTCCAAATCTACTGAAGTTCTCCATCCCCACTGTTCTTCTAACCAGGAATTGTTCACTTAATTAATTCCACAGAAAGTGCTACCAAAGATGCAACCAAACCCCAGAGCTTTGGCGCTTAATGGCATCTGTGAACATAACTGAGGTGGGTATTTGGTGTCTGGTTCCATGAACAAACAATTATATCAAATTCCTGAAAGGAGCTTAGACTTCCAGAGGCTAAGCCAATTCTTTCAGTACTCACCACTTCTCACTTTGTTTCCAAGCTAGTACACTCAAGACCAGGTGCTCAGCAAGCTGTCTTCCTCTTGGGGAAGCAATTGGTAACTAAGCAATTTAGGAGGTAACCAAGTGTTTTAACAAGTCACACCTGCTCCTGGGCTTCACTAGCTGTCATTTCTCTTCCACGAGTGGACTTTAGACCCAAATCCTAGTGGTTTTCTTCAATATTATTCTGACTCAGGGTGGGCAGACAGTGGGTGAAAAGGACTTAAGAAGGTACAACAGAATCATTACAATACAGAAATTTACAGTAATTCAGCAAAATAAGCACAAGAGATGGAGTCCTATCACAGTTTACTACCATTGGTGATAAAAATAATTACAAGACATAGTCCTGCTTAGGCACTGCCAAGATAAGGCTATCCTCTCCCAGGACTTACTTCTGTTTCCTTAAATTTGTCCATCTGGCAATTTTCCATGCTGGAAAAGGCCCTTGGTTCCCAACTCTGTGAGTGAGTGTGTGTGCAGGTGTAATGTGAACAGCCGCAGAGGTGACAAGTTGGGCTGCAATGGTGACCTTGCTGATTTTATCTAATACCTCCTCCTGGGAAGAAAGAGTGATGCAGATAAAGCCAAAGACACAGCAACAGTACTCTCCACTCAAATATGTACAGAAATTTAACATATTCTGATGCTTAAATAATTTTTCAATGTTTTCTCTCATTGTTTTCCATTGCCTTTCTTCTCTGGTTGTAGAGCTAGTGCTTTTGTTTGTTTGGCACAGCAATCAGACATTTGGGGACAATCCCCTTGTTAGTGTTTTTCTCCTCACCCCTGCAGAGGTGGAACACAGGTGGCTGGTTTAAGTGGTCTAGGCTGGTGGAGTTCCAGAGCTGAGAACCAGTGTTTGGAGTCTGAATTGTGCACCTTGATGAACCATCCACTGGACTGAGTTTGGTAATTGAGCACACTATATTTGAGAAGTGGGGAAAGCCAGTATTCTGGCTTTCTTTTGATAAGTGGGAAGGGTCACTTACCCAGAAAAGTCTCAGTTGGGGTTGGGGTACAGATGCAACACAAGGCAGACCAGAGAGAACTCTAGAAACTGGAATTTGTTTCAGTTTGACTGGAAACAAGTATTTTAAAAATGGGGATTGGTATTTGTAGATTTGTAGCAATTATACCTAGTTTGTTTTCATGAAAAATTTGGAAGAATTGTGGGAAAAGCAAAAGCTGTTAGCCTCTATTTTCCCATGCTCATATTCTTTCTGGTCACTTTGTCCCTCTGTATTCTAGAGAAAGGGACAAGATGGAAATTTGCAGGTGATCTGGGAACTGACCCAACCGCCTGTCCAGAAGATGTAGGCCAAGATGGAGCTTGTGGGGAAGGGCCTAGGCTGTGACTTGTTGGTAGGCAGTCCCTAGCTCAGGTATCTAAGTCACAGAGCTCATTGCTCCATGTGGTCTTTCTGTTGGGGGAGGGGACAGCACAGGCCTGGGCAGTTGCTGATGTAAAATTCAGGACAAATAGAGCAAAAACGGCAGCATGCCAGCTTAGCCCCCTCTCCAGGGCATTGGTGTTTTTATTCCCCTTCCTATGGGCTGGCTCAGAATTATAAGGGGGTGTCTAGTCAGCTGGGTATAGGTAGAGTCCAGCTACTCCTAAGACACTGAAAATGCACCAAAGGATTAGAAGCTCCACCAAGAACTAGGGCAGTTGGTAGAGGTGTATGTGTGTGTGTGTTGGATAGTGAGGGTAGGGGGCAAGATCTGGGTGGGGAGGGATTCCTGGATTAGCACAATAAATTATAGGGTCACTTAGAGGCCGAGTTGTCTTTTCAGTTCCATATATACATGTACATATATACGTATACATATATAATATATATACACACACATCTTTATGTCTCTATACATAATCTATACTGCAGCACAGTGGCGACACCATTAAAATATCCAGTGAGAATGCAGGCAAACACTCCATGGAGGCAAGCAGGCTAGTGTCAAGGCAGTAGGAGGGGGCCTGTGTGGTTGCCATAGAGGTGAGTTCTAGTGAGTCAGCTCACCCAGCCACCAGAGCACCTGACATGTGTAAAGACGTACATGTACACATGGAAAAACACAAAGGGTTTGCAGCAAGAGAAAGCAGTCACCGTGTCCACAAGCAGAGACCTCATACAGTCATTATAACAGGCGAGTGGACAAACCTCCCAGGCCTAGTTCTCATCTTAGTAAATCAGCTAGAAGAGACCTCCTGAAGTTACAACTGGCTGGGATTGGGGGAGAAACAACCAAGCCTGGCTGTCCTGACCCCTCTCCTCATCTCCCTGAGAATATTTCCTTCACTCATTCCCTAGCATCAACAGTTTCTCTGCCGGTCAGAGAAAACCATTTCCAAATTCCCTGAAGAGATGAACTTGAACTTCCTTGAGTCTTTTGTAGATCGCAGGCCAGTCATAAGAGCATATTCTAATTAAATACTGAAGTTGCTCCAGAGGCACAAAGAGGAGAAGTGAACAAGACAACTCAGAACAAGAATCTTTGGCCAATGAAAAAATGTAATCCTCTAAGAAGACCTGATTGAGTCCAGGAAAGATGTGTTAGTATAAAGAACTGGAGGTTTTTTCTTGGTGGTGCTCATGTTTGTTCTGGAACAATTTAGTCTAACTGGTATTGAGGTTTGTAGTAGAATTCTAAATGTTGTGAGTTCTTCCAGCTTTCAAGACTACGGTTGAGATCTTGATGTTGGAGGATCGTCATCTTTCTCTTTGTCCTCACGACTTCTACGATGCCACAAATTTCCTTTAGAGAAAAAAAATACAAGTAGGGAAGTAATAAAGTTAGCACACTGAGAGATGCCTGGATACATGGGCTCTCAAGAGAAGAGTCTGTTGGCTGACAGGTTGGTTTGTTCCTATTGTGCCTACTCTCTCTGAACCAGCCAAGGAAACCAGCTGGTACAAGGTGAGCTAAACACGAATGAGATGAGCTCTCAGGGCCTGACAAGTTGCGGAACTGCAACTCACCCCTTCAGAATCTTAGGAAAGACTCTTTTTAAACACTTTGGCCACCCAACTCACAAATTCCTAGGTAATCAAACCAGTTCAATCAAACCTGAGAACACAGGAGATTTTTGGCAGCTATATAAACTCTCTTAGTTCCTTGAGACCAACACAAATTGTCACACTCCATCCCTCTTCCCCAGTGCCCACTGGTGCAATAGCTCTCCAGCTTCCAGATTGTCTAGGCCCACAATTTAAGTGACACCATTAATATCAGAATTGGCATAACTGAAAACTGTAAAAGAACCTTCTTTTGAGCCCCACTAACATATCAATAGTGCTCAAATTCAATTCTGAAGAAGGGATGGAATTGAAATTCAAATGAAACAGAAATTTTGCATTTCCAGGAACTTGCCCCAACAGACAGGGGATAAAAGAGTTTATCACAAAACCTGTTCCTGACCATATAGGTACCCAGCACTAACAGCCCCAAACCATTTCAAATCACTTGCTTTTTGGAGCTGTTCTAAGAGCTGTTGTTGTATCCCACTGGAAGAAGGGTCTCAGATTGATGATTTGCCAAACTTCATCAAATGAGGCTAGGAATGAGTCAAGCAGAAAAGTGACCACCTCTTCTCAGCTTTCTCTTCAGCTGCCTGCATCAAGGCTCCTCCTCAGTCTTCCCCCTGCCTGTGTCCCCATCACTTTCCAAAAAATCTGGTCCAAGAGGCCACTTGGGCCAAGTGGGCCTGAGGTGGGCTCCTGGTGGTCTCCTCCTCCATCACTACCATGCCTGTGAACATTTATAATGGGATTTTTGGGTTTGGGGGAAGCAGCCAGGTTGCTGGGGTCTTCATGAATCCTAATCCTGTTGGAAACTTACCAATCAAACTCTGGACTCCTCTGCCTGATTTAGGCTTGTCTTCCCCGTATAGTTTCTTCTTCCCCAATTTGGGGAACTTAATTTTTAATCTGAGGCTTCTACTGTCAGTGTCTGGAGACTTTCCCTGGAAAAACCACAGTGAGAAGATGGTTAAGATGTTAGGCACCTAACATTCAGAAACAATGATTAGCAACCTGAAAAGGTGTTACATAAGAATGGCTGCTTGAGAACAGATACAGCAGCAATCTGTCCAGGTATGAGAGACAGCACTGCTCACTGGCTCATACCCCAGGTGTGCAGCTACCATCACCGAGACCCTACTCTGTGCCAGGCACTTTGCTAGATGCTCTTATGTAAGTAAAAAACAATCTTGCAGATGACGACTATCATCCCTATTTTGGAAGTGAAGAAGCAGAAACACAGAGAGGTAAAATATTCCTCCTGAGCTCGCTCAGCTAGGAATTAGAAGGCTGGGACTGATAGGGCCTCTACTAGCTGATATGGTGTCTTCACACAACTGAGAAAAAGCACCCTTTCTTCCAGGCACACAGTTTGGTGAGCCTCACCCCACTGGCCAATGTCTTCCTAGAGAAGAACCTGCTCCCGGGCTACTCTGTATGAAGACAAAGAGGGTTGTCTTCATGTAGCTTTTAGTTGTGAATGGGGATTCTGTGCTGTACATATCGTGCAAGCACTTTAACTCCAGATCTACCTCTCAGGCCTCTCTCTCTTGCTCAAGTGTGCTTGTTTTACTATTAGTCTCAATAAACTACTTCTGAGGTTAACTTTGTTGTCAGGAATTTCTGTCAACACATTCCAAGAAACTTTGCAATCTTCACAATTATTTATACCATTGACTCCTCCATTAGAGGAAGGGCAAACCTGTCTTATTCCTTTTCTGACTCTCACTTACTCCCTCTCCTGTAGGTTATGTTCACCAGCCTTCAGAATTCCCTTTCAGAAATACACAAAAGAAGGCACAGGATCGTCCACCTCAGCAAAGCCTTGGAAAGCCCAATGAAGAACTGATTTATCATCCCACTTTTCCCTCAGATCCAAATCTTCTGTGGCCTTCAGGTGAGCAAATTTGGTGGCAGATGAATGAGCAACATCTACCTGGCTCTCTTTATCTGCTCTGCCCCTCTTTAGAACCTCAGAAAAGACTTATGCGGCCCAGACCAGGCAGACTCACATACTGAGACCTCAGAGCACAGAACGTTTGTCTCATTTTCCTCAATATTTAGCCCTTTTGCTTAGCTCAGGTGCCTGGTGAGGGATAGTTGAACAGAGTAATAACAGAAGAGGGTATGACAAGGAAAACGACAGGTTTTCTTTCCCCAGAGAGCTTCTGATCAAGAGCAGCAAAGTCATTAGCAAAAGCACATGAGAAAGTCATTAAATCCTTCAAGACCTCAATTTGTGTCTGGATTTTCTCCTCTGAAATGGTGGCCTGGTGCCGCGCAGGTCTGTGTGCCTGCATGGCTTGCTCACGTGCATATTAACACAGCAGCTGTGTGGAACCAGGTGCTGTATAGGCTGAGTAGGGGAGTCAGAGATTCAGACAGGCTGGAATGAGCAGTTCCATGGTACAGAAATTTAAAGAAGAATCCTTTGAGGTCACGAAGGGGGTCATTTGCCTAGTGAGATATGGCAGAAACTATTTTTCAATCTTAGAAAAGCACTGAGTTGTCCAAAGTGGCAGCACCCCTGCATCTATGTTGCAGTCACAGTGGCTATGCCTGCTTTTCTTTGAAGCCACAAACGTGCTGGAGGAAGGCATGGTTATTCTACTGTCCTCCCAGAGTAGGGGACTGGCAGCGGCATGGAAGGTGATATTTGGGAGGTTTAACTATCAGTGTGGGCTGGGAACTAACCACTTAGAGCAGAGATTGAATGTAGACAGCTGGCCTAGCTGTAAGGGCATGAGCCAGGTGAGATTGAGTTAGATCAGCAGTGCTGAGCCGGGAAGAGGATTTGTGGCCAAGAGAACAGACAATCTTACCTTTTCTTTCCCAATCATCTCCTGCCACAGAGAAGCTCCTGTTTCTAGTTATTTTCTTAGTTTTCAATGTGCTTTCTGCCCTCTCCTGTCTATGTGTGATGAGGAGATGGGGGGAGGAGCTGCCATTCCACTCAATCTTCCAGACTTTCCGTGTGCAGCAGCCATGTCCCGCCCTCCCCGCAGGTAGGGCACTGAAGAAGTGTCCCACTTCCCCTTTATGTCCTGATCTTCAGGTCACATACCTCTGGGGCAAGGATAAAACCCATCCAGTCAATCTCAGATAACTTTTCAAACTCCATATTCATGGCATCCAAAGCAGTTAGCAGTGTAGCCTCGTCTGCGGTGTTTCTCAGCTGTAGACAGAAAACTAAGTGTTCACATTCCGGCATCCTCCTTTCATCCACTCTTGCCCTCTCCCGTATTTGCAGGTCCCTGCTGGTCGCCAGAAGACCTTAGGGTGCCAACTTGTATCTCTTTTGGCCTTGGGGTCACCGGAGCGTAGCCAGCGCTTTCATTTCTCAATGAAGAGGTAGAGGAAACAGCTAGATGGTGGGGTGGGGGTGGCTTCCTGGACACCGGACATGCTCACAGTTTAGCAAGTGGAGAGTCACAATGACCAGTTATACCCCTAGAGTGTAGGGTCCAAACAAGGGTTCTACCCATGTCTGTCAATTCCCCAGAGACATCTAAGTATCTCCCTAGAGAACAGTTACCAATTTTGAGCATCTTCTGCAGGCCAAGTGCTGCGCAGCACACAGAATAGGTGTGTGCATGTGGTGGGGACATGGGAAAGAGGGGGCATCAGGAGGAAATGGCTGTCACTTCCCCTAAGAGGGGAAGATACAGGGAGTTCATACTTACTGGCAATGCTCAAGTATGTCCCTTTACCCACTGCCCCAAATGTTTGAAAGGGACTTGCTTGTTAAACCCAAGACAACAGAGAGGAAAGAGGAGTCTGGGTCCCTGGGAAATATTGCTAGTCCATCCTAGAGGAGGACTCAATTGGCTTCCTACTTGGCTTCTAGAGACTCAGTCTCTGGAAAAGGTCTATGGGTGGGCTTGAGTCTCATGCTCGTTCTCCTGTCTTTCTAATACTATGGGAGCAAGTCTGCAGATCCATTTCAGAGGGTGTGTTCTTTATGTCCCGTCCCAATGCAGCACTCGCCACAGCATTAGCGAGGTAGCCATCTAAGAGGGGTGGGAGCTCCTGGGTGGGATTCACTTCCTCTTAAGTCTGCATCTTTCTGCCAACTCCAAGCTCCTTACTGTCTTCCTTCTTCAAAGGGAAGAGGAAGGGAAATAATAAGCCTTGTTTGCCTAGCACAGTGATGTAGTCTTTCTGAATACACGGTCATTCTTAATGAGCAGCTGTTGCCCTTTGGCTGGCAAGTATGTGTGTATGTGTATGTGCATGTGCGTGTGTGTGTGTGTGTGCAACCAGTTCCTCTCTTAAGTGTGGTATGTGTTCAATTTGGGTTGCTGGCTGGCATGAACCAATTTTTCTACTATAAACCTCAAGAAAGCCTGAGTATGGGGCCCTCCCTGGTGGTGCAACAGGTTAAAGCACAGCACTATGAAGCTACGTGCACTGTGAAGCAGCCACTGCAGCACGAGTTCGATCCCCCGCCAGGGAGCTGACCCACATGGCACAGCAGACCTCTCCTTTCTCACCCGTTGCTTCCCTCAGCAGTGTATTTCAGTAGATCTGCCTGTTCTGCTCCCCATTATGTCTCTGGTGAATCCTCTCACCCCCCTATACCTCTGGCCAGTACCCTAGTTCTTGAATGCATAAATAAATAAATCTTAAAAAAAAAAAAAGCTGAGTATGGATGAGAGAACAAGCTCCCATATTTCCAAAAGTGGCAGGGCACTGAGCTCCAATATCTACATATACATATAATAAATTATGTTGCTGTTGACTGAAGCTAAGAGACTGTAGGCTGGGGCTTGGATCCTGAGACAGCCTGGCCTGATCGCCTTAGCCACCTGCACAGCAGGCCAATGAGATCTGCAAATACAGAAGGGAAGTGGATTCATTACTTGCGATACCAATTCAGAAGCCTCGACTGGAAAGGCAAACACAGCACTTGCCTCGGTGTTAGCTGCAAGGCCCAAAGGGGATGGTCATGATCTGATGACCCCCTCAGAGTATGTTCACCGGGTGTGCCTGAAGGCTCTGCATTATGAGAAACCTGCCACTGTTCTTGTAGCTCAGAAATGTAGCCTAACTGGCCTTCCCTGGTGGCGCAACAGGCTAAAATGCAGCACTGTGGTGCTCTCCACAGTCATTGCCACACGAGTTCGATCCACAGCCAGGGAGCTGACTCAACATGGTGCGGTTGACCTCTCCTGACCCACCCCCTGTTCCCCTCAGTAGTGTATTTCAGAACATCTTCCTGTTCTAGTCTCCACTCTGTCTCTGGTGAATCCTCTCAACCCCTGCATCTCTGGCTTGTACCCCAGTTCCTGTATGCATAACTAATAAATAAATCTTAAAAAAAAAGAGAGAAATATAGCCTAACCTCTTGTCTCCAGACACTAATGAAATCTAGCATCTATTAAGCTGCTACTATATGCCAGGCACTGAAGATACATCAGTTTGTTTAATTTTCACAACAACCAGGAGTGGTAGAAATTATAACTCCTTTCTGTACACAGGGAAACTAAGACTCATGAAGGAGCACTTACTCTACACAGCTTGTGTTATGGCATTAATAATGTTCCCCTCACCTCCCTCAAAACATATGTTGAAGTCCTAACACTGAATACCTCAGCATGTGAACCTATTCTGAAATAGGGTCATTGTGGATGTAATTAGTTGCTAAAATGAGGTCTCATGGGAGTGGGGTGGTCCCTGATCCGAGACTGATATCCTTATGAGAAGATGAGCATGTGAAGCCAGACCCAAGGAGAAGACCGTGTGAAGGCAGGACACTGGAGGACTGCATCTACAAGCCTTGGGATAGGAAAGATTGGCAGCCAGAGGAGGCACCGAAGGATTCCTGCACAGATTTTAGAGGGACTGTGGCCCTGCTGACCCTGGATTTCAGGTTATAAGCCTAAGGAACTATAAAATAACACATTTATGTTTCACATTGTCCAGTTTTTAGTGCTTTGTTACAGCAGACTTAGGAAAGTATCAAAGCTAGTGAGTAGCAGATTTGGAATTTGAACCCGGGATCACCCAAACTTTCCTCACTACGCCAAACTCCCTTCCCCCACATGAGAGAGGTGTATGGAAACTTGGGACATACAGAGCAAGTCAAAGAGCTCAGCCCTTTCTTCTGAAGCTGTGTCAGCTGTGATGAGAATGCCCTGTTTTGGGTTGGCCTGGTCTGAAGCCAGCAGTCACTTGCCAAGGAAGAGGGAAATGTTTTCTTTCAAGGGTATGGCTGTCCCCATGGATTATCCTAACCTATGAAACACTACAATCAATGACAAGCCTGAGTGAGGAAGACACAGCCAGGCTGCCAGGTAAGCACCAAAATGTTCCAGCATGTTCTCCAGGGCCCTAGGCCCAAAGACTGTGCCCACCTTCAGCTGGGTTACTTTGCCCTCTCTTGTTTCGACCCCGTCCACTCACCAAATTTTCATCCAGGAAAGCTTTGGTGTCATCGTAGAGCCCTTTAAGGCTAAATGTAACATCTACTGCATCATTTCTGCTTAGAGTCTGAGAACAGAAAGGGAGGGAAAAGGACAGAGGGAGATTTTGGTTAGTACGCACACAGCTGGGTTCTCCACAGACAAGTAGGAGCAGGCCAGTAGGGTATGGTTGGAAGTGAATGAGTAATCTTTAAAATACAGCATAACTAGAGTTGCATGGCCTCAATCAATCAGAACTGATGCCAACTACTAACTACCGGATGGCTGTACTGGTGTGTCCTATGAAGTGGCCCAGTGCAACCTGGCCTTTGGCATCACTGATTGAGTGCTGTGGATATAGGGAGATAGGAAATAGGCAAATCACAACATGAATTTGAGGCCCCTCATTGACACCAGGCTAAAATCACCTTGCCATGGCAGGTGCAAGCATCTCTCTTCTTGAACTCTAGGCCTTGAGCTCTAAGTCCTCCTCCTACTAAGAACTAGCCCTGAGTAAAAAGTTAGCCCACATTTTACCAAGCCCTGACCCTCTATAGGGCCCTTTTGCATCAGTTGCCAGCACTAAAGTTACTTCTAAAAAACACCACTAAGTCTTCTGGCAGTGGTTAAAGTCACGGAACGGCACATTTATCATTAAGTATCCTCATCTGGACCTTTCCCTCAAGCGAGAAGGCAAGGCAGCCTGGAGCTCAGGTTCTAATGACGGGTGTTTCCTTATCAAGTTATACAGGATCCACTTGAGATGAGGAAGAGTAAAGGCCAAGTTTCCCTCCATTCATTGACCATTTTTTCCTCTGAGCCAGTGTGCTAAATGGCTATCAGGGAAGAGGGCTAGCTCTGGGCTAATGAAATCTGCTGTGGGATTTCCCAAACAGCCACTCTGGACCTGTCACAAGTCAAGCAACTTGCTCCACTCTGTCATTTTCCTGCAGTATCATCTTCCCAGTTTCTCCGTTCAGCCTCTGGCTCCGTTTCTCCTCTTCTGTCCCCTTTCCTCTGTGGTTTGACACCTTTCCTTCATCCGTCCATTCCCCCTTACCTCAACGGGAGTGCAGGAAGCTGCGCCTGCCTCAATATCTTGACTGTAAAATGTATCATTCAGGATGTTAGCACTGGCGTTTACAGAATCCATGAGGACAGACACATGCTGGTGGACCTTGCTCAGGTCAGTAAGTCTGTAATAAAGCAAGGAAAGAGAGTGGAGTTTGTTCTCTGTTGGACTTCTGGCTTGGGGTGCTGCTGAGGGTTGGAGTAAGGAAAGGAAAGCCCTGGGTATCCCAGTTGGACTCTTTAATGCCTCCTGTTACTTCTACTCATCCTCAGTAGCCCCCTGTGTGAACAAATGTTTTTCCTATTCTCTATGCATTTGCATTTGTCCATCCTTATCTAGACACTGAGTGCTTCCACAGAGCGGCAAATCTGGCCAATATATTGTTATGGATTTTTAGAGCAAGACATAATCAATTTAATTTTGAATTATGCTTCTGTCATTTATTAGTTGTGTGACCTTTTCCAATGCAGGAGTACAGGGATTCCTACATTAAAAGGTAAAGATTAATACTCATAGTCCTGCTGAGTCTGCGGCAGCAGGAGATCAAAGATCCTTGCTGGGTCTCATTGGAGTAGTGCAATCTGGCTTAATGCTGAGCACAAAGATGATTCCTGCCTGAATTGTTAGGGTCCCTGTCAATCTTCAGAGGTCCAGGTGCAACCCCTTTCTAAGGCTCCCCGTAGCCAACAGACACACACTGACTTCTTCCTACCCTCTTAGGATACTTATCCTAGTTCATGGCCTAGTTCACTTACCTGCTGATGAGGTCTTCTGCAAGTTGAGCTAAGTGCTGCATCTGAGCATACTCCTCATCTGAGAGGCTATCTTGAGATTCATGGGAGTCCATCTGGGGCTGAGGGGCAGCTTGGATTTCAGTGTGCTTGCACTCCCACATTTTCATCGAGCTCTCAAAGTCCTAGACAGGAAGAAAGTGGCAGATCCTAATGATTGCTGCAGCTAAGAAGGTATGTGACAGGTCTGTCTGTGAGTCAAAGATTTTGTTATTGGTGGGCTTAGTAGGTTAAGGGGAAAGAAGGCCCTATCCACTCCCCCCATATACCCATCTTTATGTTTATCCATCCTTTTATCCCCTGTTTCCTTCATACTAGGATCTTTTAATTTGTCATTTCTATGTCAAGTCTTAGGATAACATGTTTCAATCAGACAGAACTTTGTCTTTCAGAAACTCATACACAGGACATTCCAATCAATAAGACAATAAGAGTACCTTTCATGTTCTCATTTGGCAAATCTGGGCAATATATTGTTATGGATATTTAGAGCAAGACATAATCAATATAATTTTGAATTATGATTCTGTCATTTATTGGTTGTGTGACCTTTACCAAGTTGTATAACCTGGTCCTCATTTTCCTCACCTGTAAAATGGGAATAAGTGAACGTAGCTCATAGGATTGTTGGGAAGCCCTACTGGCGATAACATATAAAAAGTGCCTAACACCCCTCTCCGGTGGCACAGCGGGTTAAAGCACAGCACTAAGAAGCTAAAGCCACTTCAGCATGAGTTCGATCCCTGCCCCAGAGGTGACCTACATGGCGTGGCAGACCTCTCCTGACCTACCCTCAGCAGTGTACTTTATCAGTCAGCCTGCTCTGCTCCCCATTCTGTCTCTGGTGAATAATCATCTCACCATCCCTGCACCTCTGGCCTGTACCCGTTCTGTATGCATAAATAAATAAATGTTTTTTAAAAAGTACCCCCCACAAAGGAGACACTTTATAAACTAAACTTCCTCTCCCCTTTCAATTATTGTTTTGATGCACTGTACAAACACTGGAGAGACTTGGAAGAAAGTTTCCAACCTCTAAACATTTGACCAATAATGATCCTTACCAGGTTTAGACGGTTTAGCTGAAGTGGGTGATGCTTGTGAGTTTTAAGGAAAATTAGAATAACCTAAAGAACATGTTCAATACAGAATGTCTTGTTGAAAGAACAAATTTAGTTTTCTGTTCAGTGGAGGGAGAACAACCTTGTCCAAAGCCATAGCACAGATCTCCTGTAGATCTTCTTGGACAGTGGTTTGCAAATGTCAGTATGTATGAGAATGCCCAAGGGAGCTTGTTTACAAGTGCAATTTTCTGGGAACTATCTATCTCTATCTGCTCCATGAGTCTGGCAGGGGCCAGGAATGTGCATTTCTAACAAGTACACCAAGGTTTGCTGATGTAAACAGCTCACAGACCTCCCTTTGAGGAATTCTACTTGACTGGAAAGTATTCAGTACTCGAGTGACAGCTGTGCAGGAGCCCAAGATGAGCCTCTCCCTTCTTACCCGATCTCTTGTCAACATCTGGGCAGCATTCTTGTATTTAATCTTGATAAGGCCTGGTTGCTGAATCCAGGCCTCCCCATCCACCTGCACTGGGATACCATCTTCACCATCAATGTTTATTGTTACCTCATGGCACTGCCAGAAGAGAGAGAGAATGGGGGAGAAAAATGAGGTAACTACAGCAGACCAATTCGATAATCCCATAGTTGTGGCTTTAATGTGTATCTGAAGCTGGACTGGCATGGATGTAAATCAAATTATCATGGGGGGAAACACCTGTTTCCTGTAGTCTCTGCCAAATCTGTCTCCAACCTTACCTAGCACCTTACCGCCCACCAGATAACCTGTTCTCTCCACCTGCACACTCTTGATTTATGGGCTTACTCCACAATCTAGGGTAGTCTTGCCACAGAGCTCAGCCTCTTTCTGGTGCCCACCCAATCCACCTACCTGGGCAATGCGATGATGATGTAAGTTGATGATACGGGACATTGCCATCTGCACTGAGCCAAAGATCGCCACCACCTCCAGCTTCCCATCATCTATTGCAGGAGCCTCATATTCCTGGGGGAGGAAAAACTGTCACATGTTCTGCCCATGAGTAACCACAGCATGTCTATCATAAATCGATATGCTTTAAAGACTCCTGGTGAGAATTTTCTAGCACATAAAAGTGGAAAACTTAAGAGGGGAAAGATGGAGTTAGGAGCCAATCTTGGAAATGGGCACTGAGATCACAACTCTTCTCTTAATCCCTTTGACACCCACAATTTAGCTGGTTCTCTCCCTGTTTAATCTAGCATCAAAAATCCCCAAGGCCAGACCTCATTGCCACATTAGCCACATAGCCTTTTAAGGTGAATTCAGAGGAAACGATCATGGACATTCTTCTCTGGAGATTTTATTAACATTATCTCCCTGAAGAAAAAGGCATGACCTAGGTTACTTTTTAAAGATATTTCAGGCCTGAGGCATGATAAATTCAAACCCAGACAATATCTAAGAGTTGATCTAATCCTGAAGTGTCAATGATTCTTATGCTCTGGGATGGTAACTGTCATAAAGAAACAGATAGGTGCTGCTCACAAATGTTCCCAGCTTACCTCCTCTTCCCCCATTTTCACTTCCTACTCCAGTCCATCTAGCTCTCCTTTCTAAAAGACTGTAGTGAGGACCATGCGTTACTATCTCCCTGTTCCTTGTTCTAGACTCACCGTGGTTGCTGAGCTGCTTCCCCAGAAGTTGACTCCTCCGGCATAACTGGTAATGTTGAGCACTACAATACCTTGCAGGTTTGGCAAAGAAATGGCTTCTCCATCGCACTGAAAGAAAAGAATATCTCTCATTGGCTGGTTCTTCAGATACAGTATGAAGAGATAGTTAAAGAAATGGGGGAAGGGCTGTGCCTTGTTTTCATGCTATCATTTTCTTATTTATAAAATGGAGATCTATTTCCATCCTTTCCTCCCATGAACTAGAGTGAAATGGGAGTTAAAGGTGAGGGAAAATTGATCTCCAACGCCATGAGAGTTCCTTTCTTCACATCCAGAAAGCACTACCCTCTTTTCTACTAACCTCCAGGTGCACCCTTTCTTCCAATTTCCTGTAAGAGCGCTGTAAAAGTTCCTTGCTTCCCAGAAGGCCATACCACATCTTGTTCTTAAGACGACTACTACAGAGAGATAAAGATAGAGAAAGGTAGTCAGAGGGTAAATAATATAAAGGTAAATAGATGAGGAAAAGCACAGTGGGACAATATCTTATTCCTAAAGCATCTTATTATAGACAGGAGTCATACTGAGTGGTAACTGGACATAAGAAGAATTCTAGGATGTGACTAGTATCTCCCATGCAAACAACTGCTGAAATGGGTGTCTGGGCTCCTTAAAGAATCAGTATCTTATTGATAGGTAAATTTGCCACTTTTTGTGGCTCAGACTTGGAAAAAACAGGTCATATTCACAAAGTAATGTTCATAAAATGCGAAGAACATACTTGACTGGTACATACCAACTACCCTGGCAGATACTACTCCAGAAGTGCAAGATTTCAGCTTCTTGGAATTAATTTTACATGAAACATGGGACTCTTAAACTGTAATTTCTTTGAAATATAACTTTTCTGGTAAAATGAAGGTTTTTTCAAAATCTGCTTATCAAACACTCAATAAAACGCTATATAGAACAGCTGAGTTTATTAGGTAAATTGCAGAGGGAGAGCCAGGGAGAAAATGTGGGACAGGTGGGGATATAAGAATACTTGGGATGAATGTGGAAAAGGGCATGGTCTTAATGAATGTGGTGTCTGATAAAAACAGGGAGATGGTTTATAATCACTAGAAAGACTAGATATAGTTTCCTATCAATATGAGCTCTTAAAGTAGAGCTACAGAAATGAGCCACCACAGGGTGTGAATTTTGAACTATAAGAAGACTAGACAGGGCCTTCCTAGTGGGCACAGAGGTTAAAGATATGGCAATATCAATCTACCAGCAGCCACTGAAGCATACATTTGATCCCCGGCCAGGGAGCTGACACACATGGAGCAGCAGACCTCTCCTGACCCGCTGCTCCCCTCAACAGTGCATCTCAGTAGATCCTCCTGTCCTGCTTCCCATTCTGTCTCTGGTGAATCCTTTCACCAACCCCCCCACACACACCTCGGGCCTATACTCTAGTTCTTGTATGCATAAATAATTTTTTTTTAAAGAAGAGTAGGGTAAAATGATTTAAGGTCTGTTTGAAATCCTAAGTTCTCTGGGCACTGTTGTTTCTTCACCTATAAAAATAGAAGTTTAGTTATATGAAAATGTAAAACCCTAGAACAACCAAAACAATACTGAAAAAGAACAAAGTTGGAGAACTACCATCTCCCAGGTTCAAAACTTTCTAGAAGGCTATAGTTATCAAGAGAGTGTGGTACTGGCATAGGCTAGACACATAGAACTACAGAAAAGAAATGACATTCTAGAAAAAAAAAACCCTCATATTTATGTCAATTGATTTTCCACAAGGGTGCCAGCAAAAGGGAAAGGGTAGTTTTTAAAGATGCCTCAGTAAGAATAATTCAACATCTGAAAATCAATCAATGCAATTCACCATAGAAAAAAGGAAAGATAAAAATGATATAATAATATCTCTAGATACAGAGAAAGCATTTGATAAGACTCGGCATTCATTTATGATAAAAGTCCTCCAAAATGGAGATAAATGGGACATACTTAAAATAATAAAAGTCGTATATGATAAACCCACAGCTAGTATCATGCTCAATGGTAAAAAGATGAAAACATTCTCTCTAAGGTCTGGTACAAGAATATCTACCACTATTATTCATTATAGTAGTGCAAGTCCTAGTAGAACAATAAGGCAAGAGGAAGATATAAAAGGGATCTAAACTGGGAAAGAAGAAGTAAATTTATCACTATTTGCAGATGACATGATAATATACATGGACAACTCCAAAGTGGTAGGTAACAAGATCAATTTACAAAAATCAGTTGCCTTTCTATAGGCAAACAACAAACTAGAAGAGAAAGAAATCAGGAAACAAGTGCATTTGCAATCACATAAAATTAGAATTAAATACCAAAGAGTAAACTTAAAAAAGGAGGTATAGCGCCTATACAATGAAAACTATAAGACATTGTTAAAAGAAGTAGAAGAGGACACAACACAAACCCATGGTTTGGAAGAATCAATATTGTTAAAATGGTCATTTTATCCAGAGCAATATATAGACACCCAAACACACAGATTCAAAGTAAAACCAAAATTACTGAAACTCATATGGAACCTAAAAAAAAAAAGCCTGAACAGCCATACAAATTTTGACAAAAAAGAAGCATAATACCACACTCTCAGACTTCAAACTATACCATAAAGCAACAGTAATCAAAACATTATGGAGTTGGACTAAAAATCAACACAGTACATTAGAACAGAATGGAAAGACAATGGACAGTTACTCTAAAATACAGAAGATAAGCGTATACATTAGAGAAAGGAAATTCTCTTTAATAAATGGTGTTGGGAAAACTAGACAGCTACATGCAAAAAATAAATAAATAAAACTAGACCACTATCTCACACTATCCACAAAAATTAACTCAAAATGGATTAAAGACTTACATGTAAAACCTGAAGCCATAAAGCACAATAAAAAAAAAAAGGCAAAATAATCACTGACACTGGTTTCACTACGTTTTTGTGGAATTGTCTCCAATGGCAAGAGAAACAAAAGAGAATATAACAAATGGGACTTCCCCAAACTAAAAAGCTTCTGCATAGCAAAAGAAGCAATCACTAAACAAGAGAAAATATTTATATATCATACATCTGAAAAGGGGCTAATATCTGAGTTCCCCAAAGAACTCATACAACTCCACCAAAAGAAAACAAATAGCCCAATTTAAAAAATTACTGTAAGAGAGGAAAAAAACACTTTTTCAAAGACACATGCAGATAACTGGTGGGCACATGAAAATTGCTCATCATCACTTATCACGAAAATGCCAATCAAAACTACAATGAGATACCACCTCACACTTCTAAGAATAGCCCATATCAAAAAGTGACAATGAAGAAAAAGAAACCTTGTAAATGGTTGGTGTTTTCCTTCTGGAAAAACATCTAGAAGTTTCCCAAAATTAAAAAAAAAAAAAGTAGATCCACCATATGATCCAGCAATTCTACTCCTAGGTATCTACTCAAAGAATACAAAAACACTAACTTAAAGGGATGCATTTAATCCTGTGTTCACTATTTGCATTATCAAGATTGTGGAAACAATCTGAATGCCAGTGACAGAGAGAGGGTTAAGAATGGGTGGTGCATACACACACACACACACAGATGATGGAAAACTACTCAACTATAAATATAGGTGAACTCCTGCCATTTGCAACAACATGGATATACCTGAAGGAGATAATGCTAAGCAAAGTAAGTCAGAAAGAGAAAGATAAATACCAGATGGTTTCGCTTATGTGTGGAATTTAGAGAAACAAAGCTAAAGGTCAGAAAGAATGAAAGAGACCAACCCTCCCTCCACTCCTGGAATTATGAATGTAGAATTAAGGCCACCTGAAAGGAAGAGGGAAGGTTAAAAGTAGGATCTGGACAGGGTCCAGTGGGCCATGTTCAAAGACAATGGGTGCCTTGGTGGTAGGTGTGGTAACACGACTGAAGACGCCTCTGAATCATATACAGTGTCGTAAACCAATGTTACCTCAATAAAAACTGCTGCTGTGTAAACATATATCCACATCCAGAAATATGAACTAGGCTCTTACCTCACACCATACACAAAAATCAACTCAAATGATAGACTGAAAAGTCAGAGTCAACACAACAAAAATTTTAGGAGAAAGCAAGAGCAAATTTTCTAGGCCATTGGTTGGGTAAAGTTTTTTTTTTTTTTAGATATGGTACCAAAAGCTTGGTCTATTGGACCTCAACAAATTCAAATATTGTATTTCAAAAGATACAAGTAAGGAAATTTAAAGACAAATAACAGAGGGGTAGCTAATATTTTTTAAACACATATTTGATAAAGTGTTTTTTCCTCAATCCAGGCCTGCTATGACAAACAGATTCTGGTGGCAGGTGGCAGGGATGGTGGTAGGGGTGTATGTGCTTATTTTACTTGGTGTTTCAATTTACCACAAGTTTTGTAAGGCTGCGTCAGGGTGTAGTAGAAAAACGCAAAAAGATATTAAGTAGACCAGTCTCATCTAGGGTAAAATCAATGGATCCAGAGGAGCCAGGTTAGCACACCTAGCATCAGTTGTGCGATCTTCTATGTTTTGAGCCTTTCCAAGCAAGAAACTGACCTGGAAATACTATTAGGAATTGATCAAGTGCTCACCAATAGAACACAGGTAGGCAGTTTGTTGAACTGAGTCAATGTAATGTGTTCTTAATAATAGTAATAGTTTTGTTTGCACAGCAATCTGCAGATCTGGACTTTGAAAGCAGCATTAAGCTTGGGATGCCTGTGCAGTGTTGTGTCATCATATACAAGGTCACTCTTTGGGGAAAGCTGTATACAAGCCTACCTTAGGCCTGTTGCATCTTATCTAAAGGACCTCTTTCTGTTGTTTGTCTGAGAGTTAGGGCATACTGGAACATGTGTGGATTGTGTTTGATTGTAGGCAAGGGAGTTACTTTTCCTTACTTGTATTGTCCTGGGTTTTCATCTCTTCTGGTATTGAATTCCAGAGAAATTTTAGCATCCAGTCCAATTCCAAAATAGTTGTTCATGACACACCTTTCCTTGAAGCGTCTGAAATTAATCAAAGGGAGAGGACAGAGGTTGGTACAGGGACGAACTGTTGTCATTGGGTGGCAGACTTTATCTGCATGATTGAAATCACTGAGGGAATGTCTCTTCCACACTGGGCCCAAACCATAATGTTCTGAGAGTCACATGCACGTATACCATAGTGCTAACAACTAGCTCGCTAGGTATAAAAAAAGGTATAAAAGCAAATTGTGAGCAGTCAGTAGGATGGGGCCTCCTAATAAAAAATTCATCTCTGGAGACCCTCAGATATTAGTGGCCAATGTTTTCTATACATAATAAAATAAGTAGAGTCATTGACTTATCACTGACTTAATCCCACAAAGAAATTTTATTATTGTAGATAAAAATGTATGATGTGAAAAAATTCTACACTGTTGTTTTCAGAGATGTCTGAACCCCTTTGTAGCATTTTCACATCAAAGTGACTACACATTTGGGAGAAAAGAGTGATAAACAAGGATGTATGTATGTGTGTGTGCGTGTGTGCACCCCAAAAATGTTAAAATTTGTAATTCTTCTGTGTTCACCTCAGGTATCAAAAATAAAGCCAGTGGTGTGTTAGAGCCAGTTTGTACCAGCTCATGTAAGCTGTTGATGTCTATAACTCTTTAAGTCTATCACTACCTAATTCCACATTCAGTAACATTGTATTAGCAGCTTGAAATAGTCCATGGTGGAGGGATTTAACATTTCTATTAAATGAGGAATAAATCAGGGTTTCCTCCATCCCCACACTGTGGGTTGTTAAACATTTGCCAGCTCTCCATTGATCCAAAATTCATTAGCTTTGACCTGAGGACCTAGAGAACTCAGACATGAGCTTCAGTTACTGTGAAGTGGAGGGGAGTAGGAGTAGGAGATAGAAATGAATAGGAGGTACAGTAAACTTTAATAATCACTAGTTGTGACTTTTGAGAAACTGAAAATACATAGTTTAGTTACTCAATCCTAGATTTTTTTATTTATTACTAAACTGGCCCTACATCTTTCACACAAGTTTTCCCTCCTTCTCCCACAATCCAATTATTTTGGGTATCTTAAGTGAAGTCTGAAGTGATCTTAATGGAACTAAAAAAGAGATACGGTTACTAATACAGGTGTCTTTAGATTTTTTACTTAGCCCCTAAATGCCCATTTATATTTTAGCACCTCTAACTACTTGCAATTAAAGACAACAGTGGAAAAACAAGTCCTCTGAAATGACAAAGTACTTAATGGCTGATGCCAAGTACTGCTCAATGCAAGTATTGTACATATCTAAATTCAATAAATGCAAGAAGCCTACATGGCAAGTTCCACAATTATCTCTGCTTTATATGTAAAGAAACTGAGCACTAGATTGGTTGCATTACTTGTATAAGGTCACAGCTAGTAATTAGAATCAAGATTTGACTTTGGGTATCCTTAGATTATCCTCTTAGCCAAAGGAAATAAGAAGCCATAAAAAGGTGCTATGGCTAAATACTTACATAGTTTCAGGTTTAAAGTGTAAGTGCTCCAAATTGAGGTTATCTAGGTCTTCACTTTTGAGAGACGATACAGAAGACAAAGTGCCACGACGAGAACCTGAACACAAACAAGGCATCTTGGTGTCAGAAGCAAACAAGAAAGCCCTGTCCCCCACTGGTGTTTCCCTCTGTTTTATCTGTGGGAGCAGAGTGAATCAATGAGCTTTTCCTGGCTAACATTAAGGGTTCTCATTACAAAGAGGAATCATCTTGGATGGACAAGGACTTCCAGTGAAGGAATAGTGAAGCTGAGCTGTTTGGGCTTGCTGACAGTGACAACAGCTTCAGATGCTTCATCAGAATAGTCTTTTCAAAGTACTTAATGGGGCCATTGCTTCTGGGCATTGGCAGGGGATTTTACAGGTTGAAATTTCTAAGAAAGAGGGAGGGGCATTTACTGCAAAGTAGGATTATAGGTAAAGGACAATGTTTGGATATACCTTTATTCTCTGGAATTACAAGACAATGATGAAGGTTAGAATAAAATAAGGAGAAAAAGATTCTTACGGTGTCTTGGGCTTGTCTGGTTGATATCTTCTGAGTCATCTTCCAGGAAGAAAGCTGAAGTAAAGTTCTTAACCGATATTGTCTGTCGGCTTTGCTCATCCAGAACTATAGAGTAAAAGAAAGAAGAAAAAAAAGAAGGAAGGAAGTAGTAGGGAGGGAGGGAGGAAAGGAAAAATGAGAAGATTGGTAACACTTATTGAACCTTTCTTTTAAATTTATTTTTTGTGACATTTTATGAGGTAACACTGGTACACAGTTTCTTAAGTGGAGCATCTCTTTTGTTTAGTTAGTGCCAGTCAGTGGGTGATTAAACAACAAAGATGTCTTACCCATGGAACCACCAAAAAACAGTTTGTAGTCTCAGCTTCCTTCTAATGCTATCCCCATGTCTCTTCCTACTCATGACTGAGAATTATCTGTTTTACTGTTTTTCAGTCACCCAGTAAATGTGAGTAGAAGCTTGAGACCAATAGTAGGATACTCTCTGCTCTTCTCCCTCCACTCTCACCTCTTTGTTAATTCATTTACTTCAAGACTTGTTCAAACTTGAGCCTCTTAGACCATGGCATTCTTCCATTTAAATGGCTCACCCATGGCCATTTAAGAAGTCCCCTTCTCTTCACCAGGCCTATATATTGTATAGCTCAAGGCTCAGCTAGTACCATGGCTCATAGGTTCAATCCCTTCCCTATTAGGGACACAAATGTATCTCTAATTTGGACTTCCATGTTGATGAAAACAGGTTGATGGGTGGTTATGACAGAACTATGGCCATATAAAACTATACTGACCCCTAATACATGGACATTAACTACAGAAATAGAGGCAAACTGACTGTTTATTTCATTCACAAAGCAGATGGGTGAGAACATTTCTTTCTTGGAATCTCGGCTGAGGACATATCTAAAGGTAGCAAACCAGGAGAAGGTTACATGTCTAAAAGTCAAAGGCTAGATAAAAGAACTTCCTTACTATAATGGACTTCTGCCCAGGTATCACACGCTACGTTTTACATCATCTTCTGATCTATATTTCAAAGAAGCATTACGGGAAATAAATGGGAACCAAAATGTCAAATTAAGAAGTTGGAGGATTTAAAAGAGGCTTCATACTGAGTTGGAAGCTTGCAGACTGTCATGGGTTGTGGGAAATGGCAATCAATGGCAGGCCTGCCAGGCCTCTTCTTGTGGCCCTTGTGTCTGATTAACACTGTGCAAGACATGCAGAGATGAACACTATTTTCTTTCTAAAATAGTCACAGGCTTGCTGGTTGGAAAGATAAAGGATCAGGTAGAAAATAAATTTCATGGTTGGTGGTGGAAGCCGATGGAGCTTTGAGCCAGGTCACTTAGCAGCTATAATTGTTTAGGATGAATGTTAGTTCCAAAAATAAATGAGTAGAAAGAGTTGAGTGCTTTGGATGTAGGAGGAGCCACAGGGGCAACTTATCAGGGTTAAGTCTTTTCAAATCAGCAGAGTCTGAGAATTGACTTTGTTTGCTGTGTCAATGCAGAATCTAGTCAAGTATTGGTGTAGCAAAGGAGAATACCCTGAATAAGAGAGACCAGTAAACCACCCCTGCCCCCCAGAAATCATCGCCTCCCCCTGCCTTGCTCACCATAGCCCTGAGCACCTCACCTTGTTCAACTTGAAATATAATGAGTTTCAAGGATTTCTGAAGATTCTGGGCCTTTGTGGCCAGCTCCAGCTTGCACTTGGTCATGTGGTCTATTTGAGGGATGAAGGGCTTTCCATCGATGAGGCTGCTATCTGCACATTCTGGAGTGCTCTTCTCTGCTGCCTCCTCAGCCAGGACATCAACCAGGACACTGAGCTTGTCATACATGATGTCACTCTATATAGGGGGCAGGGAGACAGACATTGCTGGGAAAGACCATGTTGGAGAGGACAGAATGAGAAGCCAGGATGGGGAGAGGTGGGATTGGACATTAGTTGGCCAGGGACACTAACAATAGAAAGTTACATTTGGGGAGATGAAAGTTTGGGGAAAGAAGTACTTAAATGAGTGATGAGATAACCAAAAGGTGGTGAGGGAGCAAACATTTGCCAAGTCTTTCTCTTGTCAACATGGTCAACTTGAGGACAAGTAGACCTTTCTGGATCGGGGCTTGCATGGTCATGCTCCTATGGATAGGTGTGTGTGCCTCTGCTGGGTACCTGATATCTGCACTGGTTTTTGTTTGTTTGTTTTATTTTTTGGTGTCTGCTTTTGTAGATGTGTATGTCTGGTGGTTCACTACATGATGGACAGCTTGATTCCCAGCTCCTTCACCTAACAGTTTGTGACTGGAGGCAAATTACTTAACCTCTTTGTGTTTCTGTATTCTAGGGCAATTGTGAGGGTTAAATGAATAGATTAAAAGCATTTAGAGCAGTTCCTGTTACAAGATTAAGTGCTAAATATCAGTCCTGACTGTTGCTGCTGCTGTTACAGAGGTGAATGTAGATATATTTCTAGCATGCATTTGTGTATATTTTCAAGCACGTATACACTTGGTCTGGGTTTGGGCAGATATTTGGTATATATGCCTAGGTACATGAATACATGGATGTGTATGTGTAGTGCCAGTCTTCAGTTAGTTAAAAAATGGGAGTTAGATGAGGTTGAACTCTCCCCCATTAGGAAGCTTACCAGTCAGTCCCCACCCTGCCTTTCTTTAACGATTCCCACTGAGAGGTATATTTACTTTTCATTAAATAGGGGGCTCTGGCTCCACAGAGCATAAGGCAAGAAGAAGGGAAACTTACTTTCAAAATCACAGACTCTATTGCTGTATTGTTCTGTTTTATCTGACGCCAGGCCTTTACGATATCAAGCACAAAATCTTCCACTGCTGAGCAAAGGAATCTGAAAGGTAAGATAAATAGCACATGTGACCAGACATGAGGTTCAGAGCCTTCTCTCTTATAACAGCCTTATCCTTCTCTGTCTCTTTCCTGTTCTCAACTGTCTCCCTTTCCATCTCTTCCACACTCTCCCCCTTTATTTTTTCCTCCTGCTTTTTATGTACATGTAGTAAAAAAATGCAATTACCTAAATGGATGTGATAATATTTTTGGTCCTAATTTTGATTTCCAGAAAAGAGCATTTAATTGGTCCCACACAGGTTAGATTTTCACCTGGGTCGACTCAGCTATATTTCAAGAACTAAGCCATGTCCTACAAATATAGTGACATTGGGAGGATGGTCCCCAGAGGAAGTGCTTCCCAAAGAAAAGTATGGTAGACTTGGTAGGAAACTCTCAGGGAGTCCCAGGACTAATCAGTGACTCACACATTCAAAAGGGGAGAATGTCTTGCTCTGGTGATGACAAAGCAGTTGAGCAGGTATGACAGAGACCTTTCCAGATGCAGAAGGAAAGCAAGATATCACTACTGTAGAGAGTGATGCTGTGCTCTCATAGTGAAGAATATTGTTTTCCTTCTTTCAAATCCAAAAGCTTTGTCTTTTTGGAGTGGTAGAAGGTTTCACCCTAATCTCATCCCCCGTCTTCCCCACTGACCCTAAACTTTCTGTTTAGGAGGCCTGGGTTGGAAAGAATTCAATTCAGAAGGTAAGTGTAAGCGTGTGTTTTCCTTGCCCTCTTCCCCCTGAAGTATCCACATACGTATATCCAAATAAACTATTCCATCTCTAATCTAGGAAGTGCTCAGGAAGGACAAAACACCCAAAATCTGAGGGCCGACAGAACACTGACCTGGTAGCGATAATCATCTCTGTAGGGTACTTGGCCTTCAGGATTTTGTTCAGCTCAGTGGTGGCAGATTCTAAGTGTTGGATGGCAGCAGCCTAGGGGAAGAAGGAGTGCTCAGCCTTGGAGTCTTAGCTTTATGACAGTATTCTCCTCATTATATTCTACAGACTCCTATTTTGTTGAAGTAACACTGCATTTTAACATTATGTAAGTTTCAGATGTGCATCAACTTGTGTATGTATTACATTAAGTTGATCACCACAGTCCAAATATGTCCTTCACCTTCTGGCTCTTTATTTACAACTCAGCTGCCTCTCTTTAATTATCACAACAAAACAACTCTTGTTGAAGTTTCCCATAGATAATCTTAGATTTGGGATTATTCTGAAAGGAAGAGATGCATATGGCTTCCTTTTAATTAAATTAAAACTTGAAAACTCATGTGAAGAAGATTTGTTCATCCCATGAACAATCTCATTACCTAGCTAGTAAATAAAAGATGTGGGATTCAAACCCACATCCTGCCAATGCTTGAGTGCTGTCTCTTATATACAAATATTAGTAATAATAATAGCATCCACTTATATAGTACTTACTATGTGTCAGTCTCTGTTCTAATCTGTCTGTCTGTCTATCTATCCATCCATATATCTATCTCATGTGATTTTTATAACTGAAGCACAGAACTGGGGGTGGGGTGGGGGTTGGATAAGTGGCAGAGTCAGAATTTGAGTCCAGATAGTCTGGATCTTGAGTATAAACTTTTTTAAAATATTTAATTTATTTGTGCATACAGAACTGGGGCACAGGCCAGAGGTGCAGGGGCAGTGAGGGGATTCACCAGAGACAGAGTGGGGAGCAGAACAGGCAGATCGATTTAAGTACACTGCTGAGGGGAGCAGCAGGCGTGTCAGGAGAGGTCTGCTGCACCATGTGGATCACCTCCGGGGTAGGCAGATATCGAACTCATGGAGAAGAGGCTTTCGATTCTTAGTGCTGCGCTTTAACCTGCTGCACCACAAGGGAGGGCCCTTGAGTATAAACTCTTAACCACAACTTCTTCTCTGTCACCCCTTACATTCAAATATCTACCAAGTCCTGATGAGCCTGTCTCTTCAATAGTCTTAAATATGTCTATTTCTTCTTATCCATTTCACCAGTCCAAGTCACTATCCTCTTTTGCCTAGACAATTACAACATCCTCTATCTTTTCTTTTTGCCTATAGTTTTTTTTATTCCTTCTGTTATTTCTCCACATACCATAGAACCTTTCTGCTGAAAACCTTTCTTTAGATCAACAGATTTGTGATTAAGCACATACAGTGATACTGCAATAGTATTATCTACCATTTTTAGTGTCCTGTATGTTTGAAAATTTATAATAAAATCAGGGAAAAAACCCTCTATAATTATCATTGCTCTTAGAATAAAACTCTAAATTTCCTATCATTGTTCACTAGGTTCTTCTTGACCTTGATCCCTTCTCTAGTTTCATCTTTAGTTCTTTCTCTGCATATCTCATCCCTGGCCTCTATGCCTCAGTCATAAAGAATATATTATTTCAGTTCTGTGAATATTTCATGTTCTCTCTTGCCTTTGGAACAACAGATACTGTCCCCTTTGTCTGGAGCAGGTTTACTTTTTCCTATTATTTTGGTTGACTCCCTCTAGTCCTTAGATCAAACCAGAAATGGTACCTCTTCTGGGCCCTCCCTGGTGGCACAATGGGTTAAAGCACAGTACTATGAACCTATTGCTGCCACTGCAGTATGAGGTTGATCCACGGCTGGGGGAATGACCCACATGGCATGGGAGATCTCTTCTGACCTGCCTGCTGCTCCCTTCAGCAGTGTATTTCAGTCAATCTGCCTGTTCTGCTCCTTACTCTGTCTCTGGTGATTCCTCTCACCTCCCAGACCTCTAGCCTGTATGCCAATTCTGTATGTATAAATAAATAAATCCTTGGAAAAAAAAAAAAGAAATGGCACTTCTGAGTTCTTGATTTCCACCAGATTGGGTTAGATACACCTGAGTGTTCCTACTTCCCTTTACTTAATTCTATGCTAACACTCTTACTACTTTATCAAAAATTTTCCCTATAATTAGATTATGAGCTCTATAACAGCATGGACTGTGCAATTATTTGTTATGTAGCCTGTAAGAACAATACCTCACACATAGTGGCTTATCCAGAAATATTTTCTATCAATATTTTGAAAAAATGTTTAAGTCAATGGTTGACTGATTTATATATTCAATGTCTAATACAGTTCTTGGTAAATAACTGCTAGTTAAAATATCCCCAGTACTCAATAATCTCCTTTTCACTCAGCCCATGGATAATACAAAACTGTTTCTCTGGTTTTTGTTTATTTTTTCACTATGTAATAAAAGAAATACATCTGGGAAGTTACCTCAAATCTGTGTACATCCATTTCAATCTGTCCTTTCAGCAATGGGGTTTGTCTGGGGGTCTCCCGGATCATCACACTCCATCTGAAATGCAGTTTAAAGGCCAACAGATATTCAGGGCTGTTTTATTACAAGTTGAAATCAATGCTTTACATATTCAGAAAGAAGCCAAAATGTTTATATGGTAAGGGAATGTGGGTTTTGGGGGGTGTCTAAACTATCTTAGGGTACCTGACATCAAACTAAATCATGATAGGGGCCTATGCCTCATGAGCTCTCCAGGTCAGTGTGATGGAAGGAGTTCTATCACAGGTTCTCAGAGACAGTGCTTCTCAATCATAAGTAACTTTCAAGATCACTTGACTTGCTACTGTCAAATACACAGAAAAGCACCATACCCAAGACCTACTGAGTACGCATCTTAGTGGTAGGACTCAGATTTGTATCTTGAAAAGCTCCCCAGGATGGGAATATTTAAAGGAAGTTATAAATCATATAGTCACATGGGTGTCAGCATAGAAAGTCTTTTTTTCTAAGGAGATAGTATGGTAATGCTAGAGATAATCTAGGCCAATTATTTCTGAATTTTTATTTTTAAAGTTTCTTTGAAATCCTTTGAAATTATAAAATATTTTCTAGACTGTTCTAGAATAGCAAGGTGGAAACTTTCCCAGTTAAAAATATGCTTAGAGGGATCCAGCAAGATGGCAGCAGAGTGAAGACACTGAGATCATTACACCCAAGCTCACACAGGAATATAAGACTAAAAACGGAATGCAGACTTACATACTAAGAGTTTCAACCCAAATGAGAGCACACTGGACTCACTAGAAGGAAGATAACTGAAGGAGACTCAGTGATAGGGGATCTTTAATAGGGGAGCTCTGATCCAGGCGCACCCAGGTGCTAGGAAGGGCAGACTGCAGGCTCTTTGGCCCCTCTCTAAAGCCCTGAAGGTAAAGAGGGATGGTTCAGCTCAGTGAGTGGAGCCCAGGCTGCGGGGAAAGACTGCAGCTCCAATCTAGGAGCGTCCAGGTGCCCAGGTTCTGGGAAGTGCCTAGGCTTGCTACTCTTTGGCCCCTTGCTAAAGCCCTGGGGGTGAAGAGGGATGGCTCAGCTCAGTAAGTGGAGCCTAGGCTATGGGAAAGACTGCAGTTCAGATCTGGGAGTGCCCAGGTACCCAGGCACTGGGAAGTGCCATGGACTGCAGGCTTGCTGCTCTTTGGCCCCTTGCTAAAGCCCTGTAGGTAAAGAGGGATGGATCAGCTCAGTGATTGGAATCCAAGCTGTGGGGAAAGAACTGCTTGTAGTGGGCACATAGAGCCTGGGAGGTGGGGAGGAGGAATTGGTGAGTGGGGCAGCTGAAAGATTTGCAGCCTTTTTAGCACTCCCTGCATCCCCTCACCACAGCAGAAGACTGAGACTAGGTGCCATTAAGGCATGGTCAGGACTTGTCACCATTTTTTAAGGTATGGTCAGCAAGACTCACAAAGCCTGGAAGGTAAAAGGAGGGAAAAAAACAGTTACATAGGACTCAACCACAGGCCCAATCAGGGGAAACTTCAACAATTTCAACACTCCCCCAATCCTCCATGGGCACATCCTAGCACAGAGAGGCCCTGAAAGTACCTCAGACAGGGAAACTTGCTACAGGTCTACATGTTTACTGCATCTACCCACAAAAACTGTGGTAAACCCCAGAGTTAAAGAGAGACATCTAGGCTCTGGGAGAGGACCCCAAGCAGTGGAGAAATACTGCTCATGGAGAGATTGCTTGAAGTGGGCACAAAGAGGCCTGGAGGTGCTGAGGGGAGACCGGCAACCTGCTCAGCTGGGAGGTTTGCAGCCCTTCTGGCACTCCCTGCATGCCCCGCCCCCCACAGCAGAGGTCTGATGACTTGTGAGCTAGAAAGGCTCACAGAGCTCAGAAAGGAAACAAAACCAGTGACTGGCTCAACCATAGGCCCAGTTGCAGGGATACCTACAACACTTCTAACACACCACACCCCCCACGGACACATCCAAGCATAGAGGGAACCTGGGACATCGGATGGCTACAAAGATAAACAGGCACCTTCCAGAGACAAGGACTCAATGTGTTACTGGAAGTAGCTGAACACCAAAAGAAACTCCTGACTGTTACTGGCTGAAATGACAGACACAGTTCCACACAGTGGAGGCTGGAAAAACAGGAGATACTGAAACAAAGCACAGCTCAGAATATCCTCCACAGCTGAAGTGTCTGGAAGTCCCTCAGCCATCCCAGATAGAAAATCCAGAAAAAATGCCGGT